TAAGTGTTACCACCTTTGATCATGAGTTCTAATGGTTAAAAGAGATGTCTTGACATGTTTAGTGAGTTAAACAAGTATGTAATATGAGTATGAACCTATATGTGCCTAAAAATGGAGTCTTGAACGCTTTTAATTGGTAAAAGTTGGGCCTTTGATGGATATCTTCGCGAAATGCAGAAACTGCATTCTGTCGCGAAATTTCCGGATATGGATATCCGGATATGATATCCGAATATGGGGATCTGGATATCCGGATATTGGCAGAGAGATATCCGGATATGCCCCCGACATATATTCGGATATTCTGGGTTTTCGAAGAACAGTAGCTGCACTATTCATACAGAACTGAGTTATGGGTTTGTGGACCTTAGATTGATGAAGTTGAACTTCTGTAATGATTAAGTTAAGTCAAAATCAAGGGATTAAGGGCTTGTGGCTTTGTGAAAAGCCTTAAGACGTAAAACGTAAAAGAGAAACGTTGTCTTTATGTTTATGCTTATGAGCTATGTTTATTGATATGATTGTTGGTCCAAATCAGATTGTGATTCTGCTGTGTTTGGACTTTGAGCATTGGTTGGACTCTTGGCTTGGATTGTTAGCTTGCAAGGTAAGCTTTCGTGTCCTCGGTTTAGCCATTCTTGGTTCCACATGTCCCATGGGGGTATGGTTATATGCATGCTGTGTTACATGCTTTGATATTTGAAATGCTTTTGAGCTGTTAAGTGCAAATGCTTATGATATGTATGTGGTGTTCACCCGATGGGATGCGATCCTAAGGGTAGGTACGGCAGGGCGCGTACTGTGTGGGTAATAAATGTATTCCTGCATTTCTCTGGCCAGTAGATTATAGCATTGACACACATGACATGATTATCTGCCCTTTTGCACTATTTTGGAAATAATGTTGATAAACTGCTTTTGAACTTATATTGCACATGTAAGTGAGCTTGGGGTGGAAGATCCGTGAGGACCCCTTGTCTTACTGAGATTTCTTGTTTAGAGATCTCACCCCACGTTTGGGGACGCTTATTTCAGGTTCAGGTAACTTGGGGGCTGATGCCTCTGGCGGCAGGAGGGCGGATCTTAGTTGATGATTATTGCTGTTTATATGCTGACATGTTTGGATGCTGGATAAACCTGCTGATGTTATGTTTTTAGCTTGCTTTTAGGGTGTTGCCGTTGTTGAGACTTTTGTTGGGCTTTGTTGCCTTATTTGGGTGAGCATGAGGATTGTCCATGCCACTTTGTTTTCTGTTATGTTTAAGTTTAACTGAGTTGTATAAACTATCAGGGTTGTCCGGTCTACATGTTGTAGTTCCGTGACTAGAGACTTATATCTGTTATTTAAGTAATGAGGTATTTCAGTTAGTTGTCTTTTGCAATTTACATACAGGCAATGTTTTATTAAATGATTAAGTAAGCAAGTCGGTAATGATTAATGACATCATAATTGGAAAGAAAAAAGAGATTCCACATTTTTAATTAAGCACAGCTTAATACGATGATATGATAACATACCGGATATATACGGGGTGTTACAAGAAACATCTATGCCATCCTCATCTTTGTCATCATTATTATCACACATTTAGGTTGGGTTGTCTTCATCCTCAAATGTCATCTGGCAGAATTTTGGAAAAGGTACAAATGATTATGCATATTTGTCATCGTTATCAATAAATGATTCGCTATTAAGATTAAGCAATCGAATTGGTAATGGCAAATCCTCCGCGCATTCAAAATCCACATGCAACTCAATAAGCCTCCTTGCAGTCTAATCCACAAATGTACCTATTATAATATCAAATTTGTCATCATCATTAATCCCCATTATGTATCTGTCATGATCAACATAGGCTTTAGTTGTCACTTGAGAAATAACCTGATTCCATTAGAACCTTAATTTTTTATTAATTTTCTCCTTTAACTCCTCAATTCCAGTGTCACGTGTTATACGTATAATGAGCACTAGTTAAATATGTTGAATAATTCATGAAAATATTAGGAAAGTAATTTAGAGTGATTGATATGAAGATTAGGGAATTAATCTGGCACTCATAGCCGTGAGAATTAGAGCCTAAATAGCCATTTTATATCGTGTGCACTTCACTTCATGAAAATAATCTAGAACTTGTTTTATTTCATGCTTGAGATGGTCCATGGTATATATTTGTGGAAATGATAGAGACATTTTCTTTCTTATAGCTAAATAGCCAAATAGCAACTTTTATGTTAATTCCTTGGGGACCTTGAACTTTTCTGCCATTATAGTAGACAAGTGTACTAATTGTTTCTAAATATAAACTCATTTTCGGTGTCTTTTGAAAAAGATAGAAAATGAGAAATGGAATATATATTAAAGATTAAGTGAATTTTGATTTGTGAGGATGAGGGGGGATATATAGTGAAGAAAGTAGGGGGTAAGTATGGTATATGACCAGGATTTAATCAATAATATTTTCTCCACATAATTTTAATTGAGAACTAACTTTAAAAATTGCAAAGTTTTCTTCGTTTGCAGTTATAAAATGGCTCTCACTTTGGAGTTTTCCCCATTTCAATATACCAATTTGGTATCTGATTGAGAAATATTATCATTTGGAGTCTTTGAGTGCCGCATGAGGGACCCAGCGTCTCTAAATGACACCCCTATCACCCCACGGCACTCATGTGAATTTGATTTTTTTTTTTTCGAAATCAGTGTCGCATACTACCCCCACGACACCAATTATATTTTTTATTTCCCAGTGCCGCCTCCTACCCCCCATGGGACTAATCCATCCCCCCAAACAGTTATGCTGCCCTACCCCCTATACGGCACTAACCTATTTTTTTTTTTTTAAAAACCCCATTTTTTTTTTAAATCCAGTTAGTGAATGTCGTCCATTTTGATTCACTCTGCATTGAATCATTTTAATAAAAAAAATAGTGGAAAGAATGCATGATGGGAAGTGAGTGAAAGCATAAGGAAGATTAAGATTAAGATTAAGGAAGTCCTAACTTATGACAGGTTCCTAAACTACAATTGTTTGAAAGTTTCTATTCTCAGACCCACCAACCAAATGAGATCTCTTATGGTCACCCAAGGCTTGCCCACATGGAAAAACCTTAAGGCAAATTGGACACTGATGCACTTTGCTCTTCTTGGACTCTTAAATTATTTCTTCCTCATTAGCTTGCTTTCAGTTGTTGTTGGTGTTGCTTCAGGAGAGAGGTCAGTTTCAATGCTGTTTTCACTACTTTCATTTTTTGAAGCAAAATAGCCATAAATCTTCTTGTGTCTAGCTCTATGACCTCCAAGAGCTTTGTAGCCATAGATCTTCATTTTTATTCATCTTAAATTTGTTTTCAGAAAAACTCCTATATAGAGATAGAAAATGAGCGAAAAACACCGACACAGAAAGAGAAACAAAGAAGACCAAAAAAATAAAGGAAGCCAAGGAATCGGAAAAATGACACGGATGTCCTGTTCCCTTAACTCACTTTATTGAGCAACACAAGCACACAACATGTAAAATCTCTGAACATTTCCCCCTTGTAGTTGGGATTTGCATAAACAAAATTGCCAAACTCTCACTTCTAGCGCCGTGGTTTTGTGACTGGGTGGTTTTGTTTTAAAAAAATATAATTGGTGTCGTGGGGGGTAGTGTGCAGCACTGGTTTTGGTAAAAAAAAACATCAAATTCACATGAGTGTCGCGGGATGATGGGGGCGTCATTTAGAGTCGTTGCGTCCCCATGCGGCACTTAAAGATCCCAAATGATAATATCTCCCAATTGGATATCAAATTGGTATATTTAAACGGGAAAACTCCAAAGTAGCGAAAGAGCCGTTATAAATCTTTCAATCTCAAAAGCATCCATTCATAGTGAGTTTTTGGTAGGATGACAATCTTTTGATGGTCACACCTTTCTTTTAAACTATTCCACAATTCAAATGGATCTTTTACAATTAAATATTCTGTTTTCAAACATTCATGAAAATGACAATGAAGGAAAATTATGGCTTTCTCCTTATCTTGATTGGATACTCTTTTTTTTTCTTAATTGTATCCTCAAGACCTTTAGAATAAAGGCATATTGCTTTTTCTTTCTCGAATTTGCCCATTCTATCGAGGATTCTTAATAAGTTTTGTAGGATTCGACATGACTCAAGGTAATCTAAAAGGAAAATCACTACTGAAAAAAGCTCAATTTTTAACAGAATTTTTTCGTTGGAAATTATGAAAATTCCGTTGAAAAATCATTTTTTGACGGAATTTTCGACGAGATTCTGCTGTTGGATAACCCTTCGTCGAAAGGCAACGGAATTTTTTTTCCGTTGAAATTTACAACGGAATATTTTTCCGTTGAAAACTTCAACGGAATGTATTCCGTTGGAAGCCTTACTTTTCCGTCAATAAATAAAAGTCATGAAATAATATTAAAGTAATAAATTCCGTCCAAAATTTCAACGGAAAATATATCCGTCAAAAAATTATGTCTCAATTTGCAACAAAAATTCTGTTAAAATTTTTGACGAAATTAATTTCCGTTGAAAAATCCCATCACAAATTTTGATAAAATTTAACTATAATTCCATCGATAATTGCAACAGAAAAAATCTCCGTGAAAAAATTCCGTTGTAAAATTCAACAGAATTTATCTACAATTCCGTCTATACTTTCAACGGAAAATAATTATGTCGAAAAGTTTCGTTTCAGTTTCCAACGAAATTTATCTATAATTTCGTTGAAAATTTCAACGGAATTAAATTCCGTTGAAAATTCTTAACTGTTTACAACGGAATGTACATAAAATTCCGTCGAAAATAATATTTTTAATTTTTTAAAAAACATTAAATTCATATGGAAACAGAATTTATCCGTCCCTAATAGGATCAAAATATATCCTTCCCAAATTTCGTCCCTAATTTTTTTATTTATTTAATTCTTCTATTCCAACACATACAATATTCAACTTCACCAAGTACTCAAACCTAAGAGTGATAAGTTTAGCAGACTAAAGAACATAATCCTCGTCTTCATACACATGAATAATGATTTTAAGTGGAAGAACTTTAAATATTTCTCCCTGGTCAAGGCTCTCCTTGACTTGAACCCTCCTTGGCTTTTTTCTCCGTCTTTGACCATCTTCTTCTTCATCAGGAGCATCAACTTCCAATTTGAAACTGTCCACGGTGGGGGAAGTTCCTGATTAATAAAACCACATCATACTGAATCCCTAAAGAGAGAACTGCTCAAAGGAAGAACTTGAGATGACATTAGATGTTGAGTTCATGCAGAATAACAAGAAAAACACCCTTCAAGTCGAAGAAAATGCCTTCATGTAGAAAGAAACTTACCAAACATATAGGTTGAAAGTTGTTGAAATGTGTTATCATGTACTACAGTACAAGAAAATATAGATCCAACGTCAAGAAGAAAGGGAGCAATATAAAATTAAAAATTTAGTCAATAGAAAGGAAAAGAATTGAAACACTGTGTTTTGATTTCAAAATTTATCATCACACTATCACACTAATCCAAAAGAAAACAGTTGATAGCAAAGTAAGAACAATTCTTCCTCCAAATGTAGCTTGGGCCAGCATTTTTCATAATGAGATCAAAACACCCATGACAATGATATAATGCATAGTTCTCATCACCACAACAAAGAAACTTATCATCAATTTCATATAACATAATAAGTAATTTAAGAGACTAAGTGTGACAACTGAGAAGAAATAATAATAATAATAATTTATGTTAGATTAATCATCTATTTATATATGTTAAATTAGTTATATAATTAGTCAATATATAAAAGTCACGTGTTAGGTTAATTAATATATATATATATATATATATATATATATATATATATAAGTTACGTTAGATATATATGTATAAATATAAAAATTAAGTTAATTATAATATTATATATATATAAATATATATACAAGTTACGTAACTTTTATATATATATATATATAAAAATAAGCTGACCTTAGTAGTCAATGTATATAGAAATTTAAACTAACTGAAACTCTTATATTATATATACACGGTTTGGATGCTAGCTTACGGGGTTATGTCTTTTTTAATTAAATAAATAAATTTTATTAGATGGGTGCAAGCAATGATACGTGAAAGGTACAATGCTTTGGAAGTCACACATCAAAATCATACTTTAACTTTTTCCTTTTCCAATCTTTATAACTAGCTTGGTTATTTTAGTGTAACTTTTTTTTTAACTGTTTAGTGTATAAGGAATGATATAATAAATAATAATTACAAAAATATAATACTTTATAACTACAAGTCGACATCAGTCAACAACATGACAATATTGAATAGATGCATTTAATTCATGAGTATTAGCATGTTGAACACTTGGCCGAAAATTTCAAATTGCCTTGAGGCTTGGTGCATGAAGGACACCTTGCCTCATTCACTTGACACATTATACTCTCAGCCATACTAGGAGGAATAAGGTGGAAAGGCTAAAACAATAAGTTCGATTAGACAAGGGTATAATGCCTAGAGTCTTGATACTCTTGATAAATTAAGACGAAGGGAACTTAGTCTATAAAAACATATATTTGTACACATAGATGGTGCTTAAATAATATATTAAGAATAACATATAAAAAGATGGTTTGGGGGAGGAATAATTTGGGAATGAGGACATGTAGTATTCAAGCTATGGCTTAAAAGATTATGCAAAATAATTAAATGAATATTGAATAGATGCATACATACATATATGTGTGTGTATGATATTCGGGAAAAAAAACCCATTTGTTACAAAGAACCAAACCTAATCCCAAGTGCAAATGAATAAACTTTGTCACACAAGAGAGGAATAAAATAACAAAAAATAAAAGGCAATACTTTAACAACCAAAGGCTCCAAATGTGCACCTTAGTCTCTAGTGTACTTCTGAAAGTTGATACACTGCATACAATATGAGTGTAATTTATGTTCTAAATCTGTCATATACTATTATTAAAAGAAATAAATTCCAAAATAGTTCTCTACCAAATGATTGATTACCAAAACATATAACAAAAACCAATGATGTGGCTAATCGCAGAAACAAGATGATAAACTAAAAGTTGAGCTCATTGATATAACTTATATATACATTTGAAGAATTCAGAGAAAAGAATAACCTTTGTAGTTCGACCAATGATGAATGAGTTTACCTGGAATATTATTTGAAAGATATAACCCCAAGTGCCTGCAGGTTGATGGATAACATGTCCAACTACAATATCAAGAACACAATGACAAGTATATAGCAGAGAGCCAGAGAATACAAACTAGATTATAGGCATGACTAACATAGGCAGTACTTACCCCAAAATAAATGGTTATTGATGTAAAAGTTCACCTCTACCAGTTCATTCTGTATGTCTTCCATTGGTTTAGTAACCTAATAAAGAAGTGTAACATAACCAGAGTGTGTTAAGTTAAAGTAAAATTCAAAAGGATTAAAAACAACAAAATAGAGAATAAAAATTAAATTATAAAAATGCATAAATCAAATGAATGACCCCATAATGCAAATATTTTCTTATCATAAGTCAACTCTGAATCTCCCAAGTGGTCTTCCTCTTTACATTTGAGTTAAAGAAGGCACAATGTCCTGAAAAATAAACATTACTAGAATAAGAAAACACAAGTTTGGGAAAATCCAAAAAGAACTAACGATGTGCAGGGAAATTAAAAATTTGCGATTACTTTTAATACCTTTGGGTTGGTATTATCAGCGACAGCCATGTGCTACAAAAACGGGGTTGACATGTGCAACTTCTTTTACATAATTCATCGAAATCGGACAAAAATGTAGGACACCAAAATGGGAATGATGAGCAGCACAATGCTTGAAATTGTAGTGTTTGTGGTGGTTGTGGAACGGTGTTATGGAACCAAAATCAGCACACACAGGGGATGAGCACTTGGTTGAAGAGGGATTGGGGTTTGAGAGAAAAGAGGAGAAAAAGAAGATGGGAAATAGGAATATGAAAGAGGAAAGGTGTATAGCTTAGAAAAAAAGGGAGCTTTGAGATTGTGAAAAACCAAAACAGAGGGAAATAATTGGGGTAAGGAGGGAAAATAACAAAGGGTAAAAAGTACAAAACTTTAAAATGAATTAAATTTTGAGATAATTAAATTGTATCATTATAAGGATAATTAATTGCTAATTATAAATTAAAAAGATATTTTTTATGCTAATTAGATAATCTTTTGCCAAGAATATTAGCTAATTTTGGAATCATATATAAATTTATCAATTATGATATTATGGAAAACTTCATTTTCATCAAATGAAATTAATAATTAAAGTTTATATTAAATAATTTTTCAAGTCTCTTGGTTGAAATTAATTTATAAATTATCTTTTTTTTCATTTTATAATTATATTTAAAAAATAGAATCAAATTTATTTGAAATAAATTAAATATGTATTAACAAAATAAGATATTCTAATACTTTAATAATCTTCCTAACGATATTGGGTAAAAAATAGATAAAATAAAATAATATTTGGGTAGCAATGAGAAACGATAATAATGAGAAACAGTAACAATAATGTTAATTTTAAAATACTTTTAAGAGATATTAATTATTGGGTCATACTTATTAATTAATTATTAATCCAATAAATTATAACCGTTAGATTAACGGAAATCAACAATTACAATTTAGTAGTAACAAGTAATAACAAAAAGAGATAGTAACTATAAAATTCTCTTGGATTAACAACCATTCAAAAATTTCTCACCATATAAATCACATAATATTACTTTTTTTAACACAAATATGCAAAGTGTATTCCTAAATGACTCGTGAGAGACAATGACTTATTAGTGTCAAAAATTGCAACAAAATTATTTCCGTTGAAAATTCCAACAGAATTTTGGACTTTTTCCGTCGAAAATTGAAACGGAATAATTTTCCGTTGAAAATTCCAACGGAATTTTTGACTTTTTCCGTCGAAAATTTCAACGGAATTATTTTTCGTTGAAAATTTCAACGGACTTTTTTTTCGTTTATAATTTTGATTGGATTTTGCTCTTCAAGTAATCACAAGCATTATGAAAAATCATAAATTTCTTTTATGCAAGAATGCAAAGTGTATTCCTAAATGACTCGTGAGAGACAATGACTTATTAGTGTCAAAAATTGCAACAGAATTATTTCCGTTGAAAATTGCAACGGAATAACTTTCCGTTGAAAATTCCAACGGAATTTTGGACTTTTTTCGTCGAAAATTTCAACGGAATTATTTTCCGTTGAAAATTTCGACGAACTTTTTTTCCGTTTATAATTTTGATTGGATTTTGCTCCTTCATTTTGCTCTTCAAGTAATCACAAGCATTATGAAAAACCATAAATTTCTTTTATGCAAGAATGCAAAGTGTATTCCTAAATGACTCGTGAGAGACAATGACTTATTAGTGTCAAAATTTGCAACAGAATTATTTCCGTTGAAAAGTTCAACGAAATTTTGGACTTTTTCCGTCGAAAATTGAAACGAAATAATTTTCCGTTGAAAATTCCAACAGAATTTAGGACTTTTTCAGAGGAAAATTTCAACGGACTTTTTTACCGTTTATAATTTTGATTGGATTTTGCTCCTTCATTTTGCTTTTCAAGTAATCACAAGCATTATGAAAAACCATAAATTTCTTTTATGCAAGAATGCAAAGTGTATTCATAAATGACTCGTGAGAGACAATGACTTATTAGTGTCAAAAATTGCAACAGAATTATTTTCGTTGAAAATTCCAACGGAATTTTGGACTTTTTCCGTCGAAAATTGAAACGGAATAATTTTCCGTTGAAAATTCCAACGGAATTTTGGACTTTTTCCGTGGAAAATTTCAACGAACTTTTTTTCCGTTTATAATTTTGACTTAATCTTACTCCTTCATTTTGCTCTTCAAGTAATCACAAGCATTATGAAAAACCATAAATTCCTTTTATGCAATAATGCTATCATTTATAATTGTTTATGGTATTGTGCATACATATTGAAACATTCACATGAGAATTCAAGTAGTCATGACTATCCACAACTACAAGTGTTGAAGTAGTGGGTGAAGTTATGAGTATACAAAAATGATGCTAAGATGTACTCATATGATAATGGATATGAAAATAAGTAAATATGTTGTTAACAAATCTCTTTAATCTTTATTGAAATAAGTTTAAAACAAAAGATAAGGTCTTAGGCCTTGACAGAATTAATCGTATAAATGGCACACACGCCAAAGCTCGATGAAGGACAAAACCTCCGAAGCGCATACCTGCTGGAAGCCATCAATAGTAAACTTAAACAATATAAAAAATGCAATCAACGAAAACAAACACAACATGAGTGATATGAAATTATCAACATATATGATATTGATCTGAGTATAATAAATATTACAGAGATTTGTTAGCAACATGTTTACGTATTTTCACATCCATTATCATGTGAGTACAGCATCATTTTAGTATACTTATAACTTCACCCACTTGTTCAACACTTCCATATGTGGATAGTCACTACTTGCATTCTCATGTAAATGTTTCAATATATATGCACAACACCATAAACAATTATAAATGACAGCATACTTGCATAAAAGAAATTTAGGGTTTTTGATAATGGTTGTGATGACTTGAAAATTATCAACGGAAAAAAACTCCGTTGAAATTTTCGACGGAAAAAGACCAAAATTCCATTGAAAGTTTCAACGGACCAAAATTCTGTTGCATTTTTCGACGGAAAACTATACCGTTGCAATTTTCAACAGAAAATTTTCGTTGAAATTTTAAACGGAATATTATTCCGTTGTAATTATCAACAGAATTTGTTATCCGTCGATATTTTTCGATTAAAAATTTCAACAGAATTTAATTTTCGTTAAAATTTTTGACGGAATTTATTTTTCGTTGAAAATTTCCGTCTCAAAATTCAACGGAAATTTTTTTCGTCTCTACTTTCAACGGAACTGAATTTTCGTCAAAACTCCGTTACTATTTTTGACGGAATATTTTCCGTTAATAAATTCCGTCGATAATAGAGCTTTTTCTAGTAGTGAATAAGAATCAAAATAAATTGTATTTAACACATAAGACATGATTCTTGTAATGTCACTTAATTCAATATGAAATTGAATGCCTCACAAAACGTGGTGATCATTAACAATACAAGATTTTTATTTAATACAATATTTGTTACAATAATATTAAAAAAAAATCCAATAACAATAACTTTTTTTTATTTAACTATGGGTTTGATTATACTTCAATGCATCGATTTAAATCAAAATGTAACAATATCCTTTATTACGGTCATAGATATAAATGATGAAACAAACTTTAATGAAATGATTTTTTCATAATGCATAAAGCAATCATTTTAATCGTCATTAGATTCCCACGTATTCAAAAATAAAAATTGCAGAATATGACACTCAAATACTCAATAAGTCCTATTAAAGTTAATGGCCAAAAGTAGTATCTCCAGGGTCAACAAACTATCTTTGATTATTCGATAGTCAGATCTTAATCCACCAATGAATGTCAAATGATAAAGATGTGGCACATAAGAGAGTTATGCATTTGAAAAAAATAAAGTATACAAAGTTTAAAAAAAAATCCTAAATAATATACAAAGTTATAATAAATTTAAAAAAATGAGGAATTTAAATCATAAGAGAGCATTACCTAATGCCTAATTCCCAAATCATTTAAAAAGTATAAAAGAAGGGAAAAAAGTATCTAATGTTACTTTAGATAACTTTATCTAATGTTCATCAAAACGACGTCGTCTTAGGATTAAAAAATTTAAAAATTACAATGATAAAGACTATTATAACCCTGAAATAAATTAAAATTACAAAAACACCATGATTTTCGCCCCAAAACGACGTCGTTTCGGTGAACATTAGATAAAGTTATCTAAAGTAACTTTAGAAAACACAAACCCATAAAAGAATGACCAATAAAATTAACAACCTACAAATTCAACAAGAATAAAACAAACTAGTTGCTTAGATATTATTTTGACAGATAGGCGACGTTACAACATACCATAAGGAAATACATTATTGATTGATTTATTGAAAAAATTAATTATATTGATGTGTATAATACAAAACAGTTATTTCCAAAATTATTTCATACGATTAAGATAAGAGTAATTCAAATGTCCTTCTTACTACACATTTTTTTTTACTTGTCTGTTTTTTTTTTTAACTTGTTCTTATCATAGCATTAAATTCATGTTATTTAATAATGTTTAATACTATAACTATATATATATCACACAGAAAAACTTTAATTGTCTATAATTTTTTATTAACATTCTAAGTTGTCATCATCATAATTGTAATGAATGACAAATAATAATAATTTTACAGAAAAAGCATTAACGTTGACGGATTTTTCTGACGGAGATTTATAAATAAAATCTTCAATAATCATTTATTGAGTAGTGAAAATAAGCAACAAAATATAAAATCAAATGAATAGGATGAATGCTAACCTTTGTCTAGGATTTATGATGTAAGATTACTTATATATCTATTGTCTGGTTCTTTTTAATCGTCGTGAGTCGTGACCGTCTTTCGGCACAACATAATGCGAATAATGTGTCATTAAACAAGAAGAAACACAGAGCAAGGTAGAGATAACTAAAAGAAAAGTAGAGATAAGAGAAAAAGATACAGCAATGATTTTCGATTGCGTTATGGTGTGTTTCAAACTTTGTTCATGTCTCAATTTATACTCTCCAGACATTGTACGTAGGTTACAACTGGGTTAATGACCAGAATTACTACTCTTTAGAATTAAAATTTAAAATCAAATAGTAGTAGCTCATTTGAGAGCAACAGAGCCTGAGTAAATGAAAAGAAAAATGCTTCGGTTAGATCTCCATATGCCACTTATGGGAGGAGTTTAAATATCTTCATCTCTTACCTGTCACTTCGGATTAGTCCAGCTCAAATAGTCGAAGCTTGTGGGAATATCAGAGAAACCGACTTGCCTCAAAAAGTAATTAGGATTGACTTAACTCCAAAAAAAAATAAAAATTATATTTTAAGTCTTTAAAGGTTATGGACATCCAAATATTATTGTTTATATATATTGTCACATGTTTTAAAAGTAGACTTAGATTGGCCGACGAACCGCTAAATCAGTGTTCCACTTGGCCAGTTTAGACCATAACCGGTGATCTGGCTGGTTTTTGGTGAACCGGATTAGTAGATATTTTTCTTTTTCAAAAGAAATTGTGTCTTGGTTGCCATGAGTAGGCGACTTTATAGCAAGGATATCCTCATGCTCAATTATCTAATGAAACACATGATTCAACGCTTAGAGAATTGGAACAAAGTTAATATAAGATGATTAATAAGCAATTTAATTAATATTTAAGAACAAAGTTGAATTCAAAAATCATAAAAAGACAAAGCTCAAATATTCATGCCCAATACAAATCATTAAGAAACATAATTATTTTTCATTTGATCAAACAAGAAGTCCCAAGGTTACGAACTAAACCAACCCTGCAAAGCCGGTTAAGAACAAAATAACCCCCAAACCCACACCCATACTGACTGAACCTCCAAGCCTAGCTGAGCCCGAAGCTTTGGATGGAGACGGTGCCGGAGAAGTAAAACCGGACACGTGAACTTGCTGATCCGGCAGGGCACTTGCCGGTGACTGGGACGGTGGTGCAGCCGGAGGAAGTTGGTGTCTTACGGCCATGACAAGGACTACAAGCTTTTGACCATTTTTACAGTTGTTACTGTTGCCACTAATGAAAAAAAAGAGACCCGACTTGTCCAAATGGAAAGTTGAATTCCCATCGTCCATTTTGTGCATGGGATTATTGATATTACACAAATCATAATCCTCTTTCTTTACCACCAGAACCGAATCATTTCCTTTCTTGTACTTGAAATCTGCATGCATCCAAAATAGAATATTACAATAACTCTTTATTTCATGGGATAAAACAATAGCAAGACACATAAATATATAGGCCCACCTTAAAAAAAAAAAAGTGACGCGCTTTTTAATATATGAACATCAAGAGATTATTTTCTCCATGTAACAGGTCGTATATATCTTTATTTCTACGTAAACATAAAATTAATATAAAATTTATACTACTCTATTGGACTTACTTAGAGTGTCATTGACTTGAAACCTGTTTCTCTGAGCCCAATGATTGTAGTCTTCAGAAGGTTTCACAACCCAACCATCTTTGCCACCAACATCAAATTTGTTTGCTGTTGCTTGATATGAGGATGATGAGCTAAGAAGCAACATTGGTATCATCAAAAGCATAAGGCCGAGAAACTGTGCCATTTGCACAGTGAATAAAATGTGCTAGCTAAATTGATACTGAGAGAGAGACAAAGAGAGTTAGAGAGATGGTTTGAAGATGGAAGGGTGATGGGAATGGGAGAGAGCGATATAATAATATATAATAGGAGAGGGGGGATTAAGAGGAGATAACCGTTGTAGATTAGAGCATGGAAATTGCTTTCGATGAGTAATATGTTTGCTGGCATTGGCACTATATTGGAAAGCAGTGCCATAAATTGTGGGCGTTTTCTAAAGATATTTATATGGGTTTGATCATTGTTACATTTACACATGGCGACATGCAGGGGACTCAACGGTAATAACCCTTTGAGATTTTTTTTTTTAAAAAAAAAAAAATAGAATTTTTGAATTAGAGATGCTCAATATATACCTGCCTAGTACCTCACCCTATCTAATAACTCTATTTTGCCCAAATCTAATTAGGTTAAAGTCGCCACACTCTTATCAGATGGCATATAATTTTTTACGTTTTTGAAAAAAATCAATGGTAAATTACATCACTTCTTTACTTAAATGAATATATTTTTTCATTATATAATATTATTTATAAATGCACATTTAATATGCACATCAAGTCAATTTGATCTCGACCCAATCTTTAAGGGGCATGACCGTGTCAGTTGAGTTATAATAGTACTTTGAACAAAATATCGAGTTTGATTTAGACTAAATTAAACATGATCTTATCCCACCCTTAATTTGATTAATTTATGAGATAAGGTAAATATTTAAAAAAAGATAAGTTATTTTACTTATCATTTTTCTGCTTACCTTTGTCTACCACTCTCCAAAACCATTAGATCAGAATCTTAAGAAGAGAGTCTTCTTAAGATTCTGATCTAATGATTTTGGAGAGTGATACGCAAAAAAATAATAGGTAGATTAACCTATCAAAAAAAAAATCGACAAAATTTTGTCGAAATTTATTAAGATATAAAAAGACAAATTTAATTTTGATGCGTGTGTAAAAAAAAATTAGACTTACATATTGTCACGTCATATTTGATAAAGGGATAGGTTATTTTGCCTACTCTTATTTATTTTGCCTATCTTTGCTTACCCGTTTCAATACGGTTAGATTACAATCTTATCCAATGGTGGAGATTTATTATATAAAATAAACTCTTTTACACCTTTCTCTCTCTCATTGTCTCTCATTCTTTCTCTCTCCTCTCCTTTCTCTCTCTTTAATGGCCTTCAACATAAAAAAAAGTGCAAGATTTTTTGTCAATTCATCCAACCCAGCCATTGTTATGAACATTTACATAAAAAATTGAAAAGGGGTGTCAAGAAGAAACAAACTCAGATGCCCTATATATGTTATGGGATCAGATATGCATGTTGTTAGACGTAACATAGTAAGAACATAGATCATTTCCCCACTTCAAGGTGAAAAATAATATAAGAAAAAGAAGGAGATAAGTTGATTCGATTTCAAATTTCAACAGTAAGAAACGTTACGGTAATCGTGGATTAATCCAAAGGAAGAGATTCTTCGTGGTTTTCATTTTTTTTGTATTTTCGTGATTTCTGTCGTGTTCAATTATATCATATTCAAGGAATTTGGAAAATTATATTCATCCAGCAGAATTATCATGCCAGTAATCATTAATTGGATTTAGATTCAAATATAAATTCAGATTGTAAATTACGCAAATCGATAGAGAGATGAGGGAGGAGAGAGAAAGAGTGTGAGAGGTAGTAAGAAGAACGAAAGAAAAAAAAGTTTATTTTATTCAGCAAATCTCCAGATGAAATTGTAATCTAACGGTGTTAAGAGAGATAGGCAAATGTAGGCAAAATAAGAGTAGGCAGAATAACGTATCCTATATATATATATATATATATATATATATATATATATAGGGTCAGGATCATTTTACACCAGTGTAAGTTACACTCTTAATCTTGTCTGTTAATCCCACTTATATCTAAGGGCTCAAATTTTTAATAATGTGAACTATTGGATTCAAGTGGATCAATGGTTAAGATTAGGTGTAAGACTTCTAACTCTTACATCATTTAAGAATATCTTATCCCATATATACATATATATATATATATATATATATATATATATGTATGAGTTTTATTTTTCTCATGTTGCATGAGACAAATTGTCTCATGCAACACAAAAAAAATGGGTAGGACCTACTAGAAAAAAGAGATAGAAAATAAAAAAGTGGATCCCACCCATTTTTGTGTGTGTTGCATAAGACAATTTGTCTTATACAACATAAGAAAAATAAAATCCATATATATATATATATATATGGGATAAGCTAGCATCATGTAACACGTAAAAAACAAATTTTTCCTGTGGACACAACAATTACGGGACACACAATTTGTAAAAGAAAAAAGAAAAACAGAAAGCGCGAAAATGGATCTATCAGCACGACAACTATTTGTTTTCATGTAACATTACATTCATTTAACCCTATATATATATAAGGTTATGTTTATCTCATTTTACATAAGATAAACAACTATTCTACACACACACAAAAAGAGGTTGGGTCTCACCACTCTTTTTTCTCTCTCCTCTTACTTGTGGGTCTCATTAAGTGCCTGTTTGTATCCTCTTATTTTTAAGCTAAAAGCTACTTATAAGCATAAGTTAAGCCAAACAGGTTTTGAAAAAAACTCTTATAACGAAAAGCTCTTTTTTTTATAATGAAGAAAAAGCTGAAAATTAAAAGCTCCTTGGAGGAGCTTTTTTTTAAGCTCTTATCTGTTTTTCTTGAATTGTGTATTTTTTTTAAATGAAGAGTGATAAAGATTTAGAGAGAGATAATTTTCTTGAAATATGTGCTTTTAAGTAATTTTAAAGCTAAATTTTTTATTTAATTTCCAAACAGCTTTTAGCTTCTTTTTTTAAGCTCTTTTTTTTAGCTTTAACTTATAAGTAGCTTCTAGCTTAAAAATAAGAGGATCCAAACAGACTCTTATACTTTTATTTCTACAATATGAGGTAACTTTTTTCCTTCAACATAAGAAAAATATATCTCATATATATATGAGTTCGCTTTTTTTACGGTCAATGTTGATAACATATCTACATTGAGCCCAAAACGACATCGTTTTGAGGCGGAAATCAAGGTATTTTTGTAATTATAATTTATTTCAGGTATATAATAGTCTTTTTCATTATAATTTTTTAATTTCTCAACTCAAAACGACGTCGTTTTAGGAGCGAATGTAGATAACTTATCTACATTCACTATAGAAACGTTAAAGCCTACATATATATATATATATATATATATATATATATATATATATATAAGGAAAAATATTTCTGCAGTTAATGCAAATAAATTATCTGCATTTATTTCCAAAACGACGTCGTTTTGGTATTAAAATATTAAAAAATTATAAATATAAAGACTATTATAACCTGAAATAAATTAAAATTACAAAAATACCATGATTTCTGTCCCAAAACGACGTCGTATTGACTTACTGCAGATACGTTATCTGCAGTAACTGCAGAAAAATCGAATCTATATATATATATATATAAGGGTTATATTTACAAACTTTTTGTTTATAAACTCTTACAAACTACACTATGTTCTTCCGGGAGAACACTAGGTTATACTATGTTCTCCCGGTAGAACATAATATAATTTGTAAATTTTTTTTTGCAAACTACACTAAGTACGACCGGTCGTACACTGCATGATTAAAGTAACACCGGTCATACTTAGTGTAGTTTGTAAACAAAAAAGTTTGTAAATATAACTTGCCGCACATATATATATAGGGAAAAGTATTTCTACAGCCACTTTAGATAAGGTTGTCTACAGCTACCCTTTTTTCACTAAGTACGACCGGTCGTACTTAGTTATAACAATAAAGCTGTTCTTTTTTTCTCTTTCCTCGGACATTGTCGGCTGGCGTGGAGGAGAGAAAAAATGCAATTTTAATGTACAAACGGTTGTACTTAGTGAAAAAAGGTAGCTGTAGACAACCTTATCTAAAGTGGTTGCATAAATGTTTTCCCGATATATATATAGGCTTTAATGTTTCTAAAGTGAATATAGATAAGTTATCTACCTTCGCTCTCAAAATGACGTCGTTTTGGGTTGAAATATTAAAAAATTATAATGAAAAATACTATTATAACCCTGAAATAAATTATAATTACAAAAATACCTTAATTTCTGCCTTAAAACGACGTCGTTTTGAGCTCAATGTAGATAAGTTATCTACATTGACCGTAGAAAAAGCGAACCCATATATATATATATATATATATATATATATATATATATGGGTTTGGTGTTTGTCATTTTAAATGACATAAGTTATGTCATTTTAGGAGAGAGATAGACACAAAAACAGAAATCATGGAAGAGAGAAAGTGGGTGGTTTTTTTAATTTAAAATTTAAATTTTCTGTGTCTGTATCTCTCTTAAAATGACATAACTTTCTGTCATTTAAAATGACAAACACTCTTTCCTATATATATATGAGAAATATAAGAATCATGTTGCAGGAATGTCACTGTTCATTCCTGCAACAAGGATACGGCGTCGTATCCTGACTTTGATCTGACTTTTTTTTTTTAAGCGTAGGACCCACACTTGATTTGTGTGTGTAGGAAAGTGCTATTGTCATGTCAAATGACAAAAAGGAACCCTATATATATATATATATATATATATATATATATATATATATATGTAAAATTAACAGCGAAATAAATGCGTTTGGCGGTTAAGAATTGTAGTATTTTGGAAAAGAACATCAATAATTCAAAATTTGCGCAGTGTTGTTCTGGAAAAAAGAGCAAAACCAAAATACATTATCTATGTCACTGCATGCTCTGAAGGAAAGTCTGAGACCTTGCACAACCCAACAACCACAACGACAACCACCCTCGTCTTCTTCATCTTCATCTATTACCCAAACACACTCCAATTATTCAATACTCCGTGATTGCGATCCCCAATTCCCAATCCCTAGGAAACCACCCAAATCCTCTCTTTCACACCAGCTTCGCCGCCTTCAAGACCCGCCGCTTCGGCCCCACAATTCCCCAAAACGACAACGGGAATCCACAAGCGAAGAAGAAGAAGAAGAAAAAGAAGAGCCAGAGATAAAGAGAGCAAAATTGGGTATAGCCAAATTGTCGCAGTTTCAATTTGATGATACTGGACCCTTTGACCCTTTGATCTTGTCCTCAGATGGAGAACTTCCCGTGGTTCAGGTCACTAATCCATGTTTCTCTCTACATTTATAGTCACCGCAATTATTGCGTTTATGCATAGGATGAAAAGATTCCATTTTTTTTTTAATTGGTATGCAGTTAACGGAATGCATGGATAGACTTAGTTTTGGTTTTCTTATATTTTAGTATCCAATTTTCAGTTAAGTGAATGATTGAGTTTGAGCATTAGCAGACTTAATTGCCTAGTAGTAGGTTCAACTGGTTCATTACTCATTACATCTATGTAGGTTTCTGATAAATGGTATACGTACTGAAATTTGAAACAAAATTAGATGTTATTGTGAGCCACCATTCACTGTTTTCAGGTCCCTGCATCTATAAACTGTAGACTGCTTGAGCATCAAAGAGTGGGAGTGAAGTTTCTGTATGGTTTGTACAAGAACAACCATGGAGGCATCCTTGGAGATGACATGTGAGTTACACATTATATCCTCCCCTTCTCTCTTTTTCCCTTCTGGGTTGTGGCGAGTTTCTATCTTCTTGAATTTTTTTTTTTTTTTTTTTTTTTTAATACTCTCTCCAATTATTTTAGTGCTATACATTTGTATGTGCATATATATTGATATGTGTATGTTTGACAAATCAATGTATTCTGTTATTCTCAATCTCAAACATGCTGCGATATTTGTGTAATTTTGAAAATTCTAATGGATAGAGACCTATCTTATAGAACACAATTATGATGGGCTTTTTTTTGGTTTCTTGCTTTTTTCAACCTTTCGCTTATAAAAGATATACTATTGGGACTCTTGGGAACCCTGTCATGCAAACCATGGTACATACTATTAGGGTAAAATACATATTACCTCCGTGAAATATAGCCCTCTCTCAACTTAACCCCTGAGGTTTTCCTTTTATCAGTTAACCTGTTAAGGTTTGGTTTTAAGTAAACAAGTTGTTTTTACCATTTCATGTACAAATCTTTGAAACGGGAAACAAAGTGACCTTTTTGTGATTATTAGTGAAAACAGAAAATATTTTCACAAACCAAACACACCCTTACTTTTTTTTTTCTTTTTTTTGAGTCAACTACTTCCTGTTTTAAAATTTTAAAGACATTTGGTACTGAGAAATTTTCTATTTTGTTTCTTTTCACCAAATTAACAAATGTCTGCACTCTTCATCTTTATATCTTCTTAGAGTTGTTCTTTTTGAAAGTTATAAAACCACATGTTGCATCTTCTGATCCTATTCATAAATTTGTGGACTTTATCTTTTGTTTTGTGTCAATGTTATTTGTTTGTAGGTATACTTTTATACTTCTCTTCTGTTTTTTGTGAAATTTGGTTCTTTTAATCACAATCTAACTGTAATTACCAAGTTGAAGTTTATTTATTTTGTAAATAGTTGAACTTTATTTTTTGGGATATTGAAATCTAAACAGGGGTCTTGGAAAGACCATTCAAGCAATAGCATTTCTTGCTGCTGTCTTTGGTAAAGAAAGAGAGTCTATGCTAAGTGAAAACCGGGTAGAGAAGAGAGACCCAGTATTGATAATTTGCCCAACTTCTGTTATTCACAACTGGGAGAGCGAATTCTCTAAGTGGGCTAACTTCAGTGTTTCCATTTATCATGGTGCCAACCGGGATCTGATATATGATAAATTGGAAGCAAGTGGAGTGGAGATACTTATTACCAGTTTTGACACTTACAGGATTCATGGCAGTTCCTTGTCAGATATCAACTGGAACATTGTGATTGTTGATGAGGCTCATAGACTTAAGAATGATAAATCAAAACTCTATAAAGCCTGTTTAGAAATCAAAACCTTGAGACGCTATGGTCTTACTGGGACCGTAATGCAAAATAAGATCATGGAATTGTTCAATCTCTTTGAATGGGTTGCACCTGGATCCCTTGGAACACGGGAACACTTTCGTGAGTTCTATGATGAACCCCTTAAGCAGGGTCAGAGGTCAACGGCTCCTGATAGGTTTGTACAAATTGCTAATAAGAGAAAACAACACCTTGTTGCAGTTCTTCATAAATATATGTTGAGAAGGACTAAGGAAGAGACCATTGGGCATCTTATGATGGGGAAGGAAGATAACATTGTGTTCTGCGCAATGAGTGATTTGCAAAAGCGTGTTTACAGGAGAATGTTACAGCTTCCTGACATTCAATGCCTTATAAATAAGAACCTGCCTTGTAGTTGTGGTAGCCCTCTTACTCAAGTTGAATGTTGCAAGAGGATTGTACCAGATGGAGTTATTTGGCCTTACCTTCACAGAGATAACCCTGATGGTTGCGATTCATGCCCCTTTTGCCTTGTCCTTCCATGCCTTGTCAAGCTCCAACAGGTTGAGATCTTTGAAATTTCTTTACCTCTCTTTTTTATGTTGTACTTCATTTCAAAAAAATCCTTAAGAGCTACTTTGTTCATAGCACTGGACTCTGTTACAACTATATTCATTTGTAGGGGTTTCAGCTTTGTAATTATAGAACAATATTGTTATGAATCAACTCAATAATTGTAACTGGGATGATAAGGGAAGGCAGTGGCTTAATGCAAGAGGATATATGTTTGTTATCTTTTAAGATAAAAGTAGATGATGACATTGATATGAATATTCAATTTAAAAAAGATATGATTTGACAATAAATTTAAATCTTGAAAGTGAAACTCATTCACTCTTTATTACATGGCGGTGGGTGTTGCTCGTAGTTCTAAATCACCACAATGCTAGCCTTATATTGGCTTTGTGTTACATTATAAAAAAATAAAAAATATAATTGTAATATTTTTTTTTTTTCTTTTGTATATTATTGATTAACTGATTACTATTTTAGGCCTAGTTCATCTACAGGATTCTCTATTTTTCGCATTAAATTATGTTGAATAAGATCTACTTAAAAAAAAATCCACTCCTCGTTAAACCCGACTAGCGAGTGTGGGGTCGAGGAAATCGTTGTATGCAGCCTTTCCCTTGCATAATTGCAAAGAGGCTGTTTCCTGGATTCGAACCCATGACCTTTCAGTCATGAAGGAACAGTTTTACCACTGCTCTGGTTCGCCCCCTTTGAATAAGATCTACTTATGGAGAAATTAATGTATACATGAGTCTGAGGATTTTATATAAAAGAAGCTTTCAAAACCATAGTAAAAATAGTATAGGAAAAATAACTTATAAGTGAAGCAAGGATTTGTGATTTGAATTGCCAATTTCATTAATGCTTTTGTTGTGAAGTTTTTAAGGTAGGTTGTAGAAGGTACAATTAGTTTCTCAGCAATTATAATCCACACTTAAGTGTTGATTGAAAAGTGTGGAGCACTGTTGTGATGTAGTTTACACTTTCTTTGATGTTTTACTTCCATGAACAATCTTGTTTATGATCATGTTCATGATGCTCCTTAGCATTATTTTAATGTTACTTGTTTATGTTTCTTTATTGTAGATAAGCAATCACCTTGAGCTGATTAAGCCAAACCCCAAAGATGACCCTGACAAACAAAGTAAAGATGCAGAGTTTGCTTCTGCTGTCTTTGGCCCTGATATTGATTTCGTGGGCGGGAACATGCAGAATCAGAGCTTCATGGGTCTAAGTGATGTGAAACATTGTGGCAAAATGCGAGCACTTGAAAAACTATTTTCCTCATGGATTTCACATGGTGACAAAGTTCTTTTGTTTAGCTATTCTGTAAGGTGATATACCCTTTAGATCATGTTTGATACTTTCTCCGGGTACCTTTTAAGTTAGGATGGATTTGGCACAATAGTGATTGAAATTTAGTTCTTCTACTCAAACATATCCCTTTTTAGATTCCTGCTTTCAAACTTAAATGCATAAGTTTTGACTGAGAGAGCTTCCTCTTATCTATTACTTGTAGGCCCTAGTAGTAGCTTTCGGTCTTAAGATGGCTGAACATCATTGGCTTTAGTAAACTGCTCTCTGTATGTGCTTTTCTGAAACAAATTTTTTTTTCTGCTGTTTAACTTGAGTTACTTTTTCCAGGATGCTGGACATACTGGAGAAATTTCTCATACGAAAAGGCTACTGCTTCTCAAGACTTGATGGGTCCACTCCAACTAATTTACGTCAGTCTCTGGTTGATGATTTCAACTCAAGTCCAAGCAAACAAGTATATATCAAACCTGATTGTTGAACAAGCATTTTCTCAATACAATTTTCTATTGGGCTGATGGGGTCTTATTAATTTAGGTATTCCTGATATCAACTCGTGCTGGTGGGCTTGGATTGAACCTTGTCAGTGCAAACCGTGTTGTAATATTTGATCCCAACTGGAATCCTGCACAAGACCTACAGGCTCAGGACAGGTCTTTTCGTTTTGGACAGAAGCGGCATGTTGTTGTGTTCCGTCTTCTTGCAGCTGGTTCACTTGAAGAACTTGTTTATTCACGTCAGGTGTACAAGCAGCAGCTCTCGAACATTGCTGTCTCTGGAAAGATAGAAAAACGATATTTTGAAGGTGTCCAGGTACCAAAATCTATGTCTTTTGGTTTGGCATTTCTTTTCACTTATTTCTAATATTTTTTTAAAATAATTCCCAGAATTGCTTAATTATTTTCCTTGCAGGACTGCAAGGAATTCCAAGGAGAGCTTTTTGGAATTAGCAATTTATTTCGAGATTTATCTGATAAGCTATTTACCAGTGAGATCATTGAATTGCATGATATGAGTAAGGAACATAGGCAAAAAACAGAACAGGAAAAATTAAATCTGTCAGAAGAAACAGGTTCATTAGTATCAGACTCTGAAACTGGGTTATGTACTGAATCTGTGAGGGCTGCAATCAGTAAACCAGATCTTGAAGACCTTGGTATGTTTCATTTATCCTAAATCTCATCCACTTTGAAATTCCTTTTCATTTTTTTTAATCATAAATCTATTGTCAATGAGAAAACAGAAAGTTGGTGAAATGACAACTTCATTTCTCTTGGCCTTCTAAGATAACATAGCAGGCAGACTTTTTACTGGCAGTCATTTTTGTGGGGTGATCATGGACATGTCTGCATACACAAAAACATATAAGTAAAATCTAAGTGTTTTCATAGCATTTTATTGAAATTTATATTTCAATTCACTATATCATGACAAAAGAATATTAGAAATTGGATTCATCAGTATATCAGCCCTTGAATCGTTGCTTTATGGCACTTGAAATGAGGGAGTCAAGCTTCTGAGATTTATCAACTGTTTTTAATTTGGGAATTGGTAAAGTGAACTCTCCATTTGGTCAACTGATGATATATATCTCTAGGCATTGTGTATGCTCATCGCAATGAAGACATTGTCAACTACAGATCAGGGATTCAAGGGAAAATATATACCAGCATCCCTTCAAGTGATAGCCCAAGCAAGCCAACCATGTCTTTAGTCCACCAAAGTAAGAAACCAGATTGTGTACTTAAAAAGCAGAAAGTTCCTTTGATTGATGAAAGGAAGAGAACCCAATATAGCCTCCTTGCTCAGTCTATGGGCATGGGAGAACTTGCATTTAGCCAATGGTTACTATCAGCGACTCCACGAGAAAGGGAGAAAGTGCTTCTAGACTACAAGAAGAAAAAGAAGATACCTAATGGTTGAAGAGTGGTTCTTATGGATGGCAAAATAAATACAGGCCTTCCATGTAGCACTAGTTACAATACAAAAACATTAATAGATTGTATAACATTTTGTAAATACGGATGTATAGTCATAATTTTCCTTTTCACAAATTGAATATGTTACATTGTAACTTTTGCATTTGATAAATCTTGATGTTACTTCAAGCTTTATGACTAGAATATTAGTATATTTACATGAAATAATTGTTTTTCAATCACAAATCTTTTTGGGCAAAATAATATTTTATGACAAAATACTTCATAGCTAATCATATAAACCTAAAACAGACCTTCATGTTTAGTCATTCTTCCAAAATGAACCAAATAATAATCACAATTGTGAATAAATAGATAACCCTTTATTCTGAATTATATAATATACGTGATAATCATAACCAAAACATAATTCGGATATGTTCTTTATTTTAGTTTTATACGCCAAGAACGGGTACTGTATATCTCAGGTGTTACAGCAACAAACTGGTGGATCATAACAAAACATCACACATTGGCCTCCACGCAGAAACCCGTGTAAAAGGCATATTTTTAAGCAAATTAGATCACCTATGCATAGCCCCCAATGCACATCACACCCAGGACCTTCTTCCAAAGCTGCCATTGAAATGTCATCAGCATATGCATATAATTGATATGATAGAATTTCAAAATAACTACCCAATATACTGCTACAAAACTTTTTATTGATCTCCACATTAATAAAAATATGCTTTCAAAAATTTATAAAATTTAACATTGGAAATTCGTAAATAAGGAATAAGGAATAAGACTAAGGAATAATCAGACTAAGGAATAAGAACACAAAATATCATTTTCCACCTTTCGTTTCATAATGATGTATTATTAACTGGCCATGCATGGGGTTGATCGTCTAAAGGCAACATTTTAGCATTGTTATTAGTGGTTTCACAATAATATTAATTATTTATATTCCATTCTTAAGTGTTTATGAGTTGAATTGCACGAGTGAATTTGCTTATGCGGAAGCTACTAGATTTAGTTTAGTGGTGAGAGATTTGAGTAGTTTGTATTAGGTTATGTGTTCAATTTTCACTTATATCCAAATAAAAAAAAAACTTTGCTTACGCGGTGGGGTGCTAGTCATCATGATTGGGACAGTGGTGCAAGTTGAGGAAGTCGGTGTTTGATGGCCATGACGGCAATTATAAACTTTTGACCATTTTTGCAATTTTCAACTTTGCCACTGATGAAGTAAAAGAGACCTGTTTTGTCCAAATGGAAAGTTGATTATTGATGTTACACGAATCATAGTCCTCTTTCTTCACCACCAGAACCGAATCATTCCCTTTCTTGTACTTGAAATCTGCATGCATCCAAAACAGAACCAATCTTTAACTGGCATGACCGTGTTAGTTCAAGCTACAGTAGTACTCTGAACAACATATTTACTTTCATTTGGGAGTGAATTTTCTCATGATAGAATTTTAATCATATAAGGGTGAATTAACGGTGAAAAGTGAACAGAGAAAAAAATATAAAGATAGGAAGTTACAAAATGATTACGGTTGATTTAGGGTGGGGGTTCGGGGGCGGAGCTCCCGTTTTTTTATTATAAAATATCATAATCATGATCCAATTTTTGATTCCACTTCAAAAATAAAGCTTTGATGAATCAACTGAAGTTTTAAGGAAATAATGGATAATGATAATTAAAAAACAGGGAAAAGTTTACCGATGCTCCTGTGATTTACTCCAAAATCACTTATGCCCATGTGATTTTTTTTATCACATAAGCCCTTGTGGTTTACAAAAGGGTATGTTTTTTTTTATCACATATGCCCCTGTGATTTTTTTACTTTTTAAAAAATCACAGGGGCATATGTGATAAAAAGAATACAGGGGCATAGATAATTCTAAAGCAAATTACAATATCATTGGTGAACTTTTTCCTAAAAATTAAATAAATACCACAAAAAGACATTTGTAAAATGGGTTATATTTATCTCATTTTACATGAGATAAACAATTTTCTTACACACACAAAAGAGGGGTGGGTCCCATCACTCTTTTTTCTCTCTCCTCTTACCCGTGGATCCCACTTGCAACTTTATTTCTACAACATGAGTTAACTACTTTCCTACAACATAAGAAAAATATTTCCCTTGTAAAATATAGTATAATTGTTGAGGTTAATAGATCAAAAACCCATCATTATCGATGTCTATTTGATCCAAAATTGGCCAGTTTTGTTTCACAAAAAAACGTGAAAAATCCCATGTGATTCTCCTCCACTCTTTACCTTTTTTCTTAAAATTTTTATTTATTTATTTATTTTTACTTGACTTGAATCACACACCTCATTTATATTTTTTTTCTGCAAGTGCAGACAATGACAACCACCCGCCATTGATCTTATCCCACCAATGAACTCCCTTAATTTGACTAATTTATGAGATGAAGTAAATATATATAAAAAATGAGTTTAAGTTATAAAAAGATAAATTTAATTTTGATGCATGTTAAAAAAATTTACACTTATATACTGTCACGTCATATTTGATAAATTAACATTTCATGTAGTTGCTAATATAGTTGAACTTATTAATGAAATCCAAGATAGCATTGTTCAATAGTATATAAAAATATTTTACTCAACCCCCAAGGGTAGCTCAGTTGGCAGCTGAGCTCCCAAGGGATTGCTTGGTGCAGGGATCAAACCCTGCCTCAAGCAGTTCTTGGAAAATCTTTGGGGGCCAGAGGATAAGCCAAAAAATCTTCGGTTGGGGGATTAGTCTCGTCCTTTCTCTGGTTGCGAAGCTTAGTGCACCCACTGTTATAATGAGGGGCTAGCCCAAACGGGCCGTACCCCGAGGGCATGGTGCCCGAAGAAGGTTGAATAGGGATACCTCCTGATAATGTACCAAAAAAAGAAAATATATATTTTACTGTATTAGTGCATTTAATTACACTAAAAAGATTATGAGGGCTAGAGTGATAATCTTTTATTTAGAAGGTCAAATAAGAAATTTTTGAAAGAAATACCTTTACGTACGAATCAATTCAAAATAAAACAAAAATAAATTTGGGGGCTCATCAAGCTTCAAGACAATTCTAATGAGTTAATCGTTGCTTAAATAAATATCTAATTCCTATAGTTTGATTTATCTAATTATATACCATCTTTAAATCTCTATAAATTCTAGGTGAATTCTTTCAAAAATTTCTAGTTATATAGCATTACTCTATTTTCACCTCTCAAACACTAACACAGAAATTTCATGTTGGTGGCAAAGATGGGTGTATGGTGAAACCTTTCTAAGACTACAATCATTCGACTCAAAGAAACAAGTTTCATATCAATGGCACTCTATGTGAGTCAACTATTACTCAATATCAAATTTATATTAATTTTGTTTTTGCATAGAGTGTCATTGATATGAAACTTGTTTCTTTGAGTTCAATGATTGTAGTCTTAGGAAGGTTTCACCACCCACCCATCTTTGCCACCAACATGAAATTTCTGTGTTGGTGTTTGAGATGAGGATGATGAGCTAAAAAGCAACATTGATATCATTAAAAGCATAAGGCCGAGAAATCGGTCCGATATATAACCACACCTTGCCATTTGCAAAATGCTGAAATGTTCTCAAGAGAGAGAGTTAGAGAGGTGAATAATGTACAAAGATTGAGGGGTGATATATATAGAGATGGGGGTTAGGGATATAACGGTGTTTTTGTGGTCCTGACCTTGGTGTTCTCATACACAGGTACATTTACAAAATGCTCATAGAGGTTTGGCATGTCACAAATATAGGATATGGAAATTTCTGAAAGATATAGGAAAATAGAAAACAACATTCTCATTCTGATGGTTTAATATTATATAGCCATTCAAACATTGAAGACCATAAATATTCGGATCAATTGAATATCCATTTCATGCCCCTTAGTACCGCAAAAAAAAAAAGTGCAACATTCACACAATACACATAGAACAGATATAAAGGAGACAAAGGGGACTAATGGAGATGTTTTAATTTGTCTCTGCCTTTATATTTTACAAGAGGTGTTACTAACGAAAAATAAAATTCAACAAACTCTACCATGTTACAAGTCATCTATAATTATCAATTATCTGAATCACAATTCTATATAAAACATAGCTAAATCTGTTGAATCATGATGAAACCCCAATTTGGATAAAGAGGAAATTCAGAATCAAACTCACACACAGTTACAGTAAGACAAGTTTAGTAGCAAAACACTAAAAATGGCTAATATAGCCTTGAAGAAAAACTAAATAGAAATAGAAAATAAAAGATAATGGAGGGGACTCCACAGTACCCCTCTTCCCTGGAGATCCCCAAGGATTCTCCTCTACCAATGACCCACTATTACAATTAACATGCCTTCCTTTCCCATCCACATACATTGTATAGACCCTCAATCTCTCTCTTCTAACTAACTCAAAATAACTAGATATGGGCCAACTTGTCCTAACCCATTAATATTCCCCCTTCAAGATTCACCTTGTCCACAAGATGAAGAAAAAGGTCTTAATGTAAAAGAACTTCCACCCGGGTCCCAAATTTTGAAGCTTCTTGACCACATTGTTAGCTGCAATTTCTTACCAGTATCCTTTCGAGGAACTAACTTATGCTTTGGAATAGCATTGGCTAAACCAATCAAGATCCGAGTGGCCACCTTAGAAGGACCCAAGTCATTTGTAATTTTCCAAAAGGGTAAGCAACCATTCATACCATCAAATCCAACATTTGCACAGTAAATAAAGAAATTATTGGCATTAAACCCAAGAACAGGAAGCCTTTCTTCGCATGCATAGGATTTAAGGGCAGTGTCGATGACCCCCAGAAACAAGGTCTTTCTCATTGACCACAAACCTTATGGGACCCCCATTCCCTAGGATGTCGATATTGACCAAGAACCTTTTTCTCCTCATTTTTTTATCCTCGTTGTTGTTGTTTTCCTTATTATTGTTCTTCTACAGCACCATCTTCTCCAAAGCGCTCTTCTTCACCATCTCGTGGCCTTCTCTTTTGAAATTAAGCTCAAATCAAGATTTTTCTTTTCTTGGAGTAGGGCCAACGCTCAATGAATTTCCCCCAACAAAATATGATCCCCTTTGAATGGAGTTAGGTCCATTATGATTCATGCCCATCCAATTGTCATTTCCTTTATATTATTCCGGATTGAATCCTGGGCTGGATTATTAATGTGGGTTGTGAATAATGACCCTCTCCTTTTGAATTAGGCCCACTTGTTCCTCGGCTCATAGTCCCAATCACTCAACCCAACATCGTCTCCGTCTCCATCCCTGCTACCTCTTGCGTCGTCGACAAGGGCTCTTCCATGCTCGTCATCAACAAAATGTGAGACTTGTCTTGGTCGTCTTCTTTTTCTTCTCCTTCTGGTTCTTCTTGTCTTTCTTCAATCTCTTCTTCCCCTCCTTCAGTTTCTTCTTCTTTAGCTTTTTCTTCCTCTGCCTCTTCTTCGTCTGTTTCTTCTTTGTTTTTTCCTTTCACTACTTCTTTGCGTCTTTTCTCTCCCTCTTTCTCTGGTTTGATTTCTTTTTTTCTTCTACTATGATTCCATCTTCTTCTGCGTTTTGTGCTTTTTTTGTTTTTTGTTTTCTTTAATTTTTTTTTTCAAAACTCTCTGACTTCTCTAACGCCTCATCTATAATTTTTACCATTTTCATTAACATTTCCTTAAGCTCTAAATCAGTGATTCCTCTCATGGTTTGTACCATTCAATGCTCCAACGATCTGAAGCTTTGATACCAAATTGATGAAACCCCAATTTGGATAAAGAGAAAATTCAGAATCAAACTCACAAACCGTTACAGTAAGACAAGTTTAGTAGCAAAACAGTAACAATGGCTGACATAGCCTTGAAGGAAAATGAAATAGAAATAAAAAATAAAGGATAATGGAGGGGACTTCATAGTACCCCTCTTCCCTGGAGATCCCCACGGAATCTCTTCTACCAATAACCCGCTATTACAATCAACATGCCTTCCCCTTCCCACCCACATACATTATATAGACCGTCAATCTCTCTCTTCTAACTAACTCCAAAGAACTAGACCTGGCCCATTTATCCTAGCCCATCAAATCACTATCTCGGTCTAAAAAAGGTATAAACACCATCTTCATTTCTTCCACTTTTTATTTCTACCAAGAAAGGACATTAAATTTTCAATACTCAATGGTTTATCCTATTTTTACTTTTTCTGCTTTTGATTCTAACAAGCACATCCTTGAACCATAATGGATGCCACCACCATTAGATTGTCCAATAAGAAAAGCTTCAAACAACCTTCTCATATTATTGTAGCTATCTTCTCTGCATTTTGAATCTGGAGACTGGTTTTGAATATTGAGAATCAGGAACCTGCCAAAATCAAATTCATGATTATCATAGATTTAAGACGATGATAAAACTGCAAAGCATCATGGTACAAATCAGTAAATCTACCTGTAAGGAAGTTGATCTTTGTTCTCTTGAAGTTGTTTGAACATTCTCAGCATGCTCTATGATGGAGCCTGTAAAAGCCTGCAGAAAATATTTATTCAAGAAAATTATCAGCTTCTGCACATTTTGTTGCAGGGCATTATAACTTGTGAGTGTAAAATTACCTTGCTACTATCAAATGATGGTTCTGAAGTTTGATTCGGTACCTGTAAAGGAAATAATAGTACATGTCAAGGACTAACTCAGCATGAAATCTTAAGCATTCTTTGAAACATTTTAGGTCACTGTTAAAGAGTAACGATCAAAGCACTAAGTCATCCTTTTGTTTCCAGAACCACCATACTTTTACATATTTATGCCAACTTTCAAATAGCATACTTTCAGTCTTCATTAATTCCTAACTCTAGCTTTCTCATTTAAAACTTTCCACTTCATAATTGTCACCTATATATCATGCAAATTATAACTTTGAGTCCTTCAGAGCTGTGCTATGGTTATAAACAAAGGTAATGCAGCTGAGATGTTGCAGTCTGTAGGCCTTACATCTCTTTCTGCTGATCTCAGATGTCCAACCTGGACAAATAGCGAAACTACTGATAACCTTGAGGAGCATACTTATCAGGAAGCAGGGAATTTTGTGATACTAAGAGCCATTCTAGTATGTATTGTTTAAGAGAAATGAGAATAATGAAACTGTTAGGATTCTAGAGCTTAGAGAATCCCACGAGGAAGAGAAAAAAAAAAACAAGAACAGAATGTATGAGAGGTGAGAATGGAGAATTGGGAAAAGAATGATGTATCTGTTATTGAAGATGGAATGAACAAGTAGAATACTCCTTCACAAGGGTCGCCCCCTTTACAACTGAGTTCCAAGATTCAGTCTGCTAACAATCTCTATGCACGCTTTCTCCATACAGCTTTCCCTTTATTTAACCACCCTCCTAAATACCTAACAGAATTTCCATTATAATACTAGCAACCCTGTCCAGCGGTCTTAACCTCTTTAACTTTTCTTATATACGTGATTCCATCTCCTATTTTTATCTAGCTGAAGCGTAAAAGAAAACCTCAATACAGTTCAAGGCATAAATTTTACTTCCAACTAGAAAATAAAAATTAGTTTGTTATCTCAAAGCAAAGCAATGTAGTATTTCCAATTCCATTTGGTCCCAAAGCAATATAGAACACAACACAACAGGCAAGAAACTATGATGGAAAATTCATCACAAGATATACATACCTCAATATTCGATGCAGCGGTTGCTTGAACTGTCTTCTGTTTAGGAAGTATGGGAAGCTTCTCAATACGATCAATGTATTCCACATTTTGTTCAGAACTTTTCCATCTGACAGTTCAGACACAACAGAAAAACTAATTTCAGAATAGATACAAACAACACAGATACCCATTAAGAAATACAAAAAACCAAGAAACATGTTGATGGGCCTATAATAAATAGTCCAAGCCCATTAGTATCATAGAATTAGTATATATATAAAAGTTTAGGGTGATGTTTTTGTTATGCATGAATTCAGAATTGGTTAGAGGGGAAAATTGGGAGACCTCTAGGGAACTCTTGAGCCTAGGTATTTGGTTTGAGGGGGAGTTGAGGCTTTCTAGGTTAATTTTTTGCATATTAGTGTATGTAAAAAGAGGTCATGCCTCCATTATCTCTATAATTTCAGTGTTATTTTTCTGGTTCCAACAATTTGGAATCAGAGTACTTCCGATCTAGGAGTGTTTCTGTTCGAGATCTGAATAAATAAATCAATAAATAAATAATGGATAACAAAGTGAACAGAGTGGAGAGGAGCTTGGATTGATTGGAAGCAAGCATGGATCGAGTGGAGGAAGGAATGGATCGAGTTGAGGACACTTTTCATCAACTTCAGAAAATAATTTGGACGTTAATAGAGCGCATCGATCCTTGTTTTGCAGAAGAAAAAAAGCGAGAATTAAAGAAACAAAAGTTGAAAAAAAAGAAACGAAACATAAAAAAGAATTGGAGAAGAAAAAGAAGATCAAGAAAAGAAAGCAGAAAAAAAGAACAAATCTAATAAGCAATCAGAGAAGAAAAAAAGCAGCAGCAGAAAGGCAAGACGACGAAGAAGATCAAGGGGGAAGAAAAAGAATTTCCTCTATCAATGGGTGTGACTCAAGACCAGAAGCCATTAAAGCAAAGGAGAACCTTCACCTCATGGATGATTTGGAAGAGATGATGGTGTTAGCACAATGCGTGGAGGAGAGGGAGAGCTTCCGAAGTCAGGTTGGAACAACTACAATTTGGACGGGTTAAAGGTTAGAAATTGGGTCCGGATGATATTCAACTTTGGGTAATAGGAAAAAACCAGTTGGGCTCAATTCCACCAAATTTCAGAATAGAAATGGGCCTATTCCTGTGGCCCAACATGGAACTCTACAAACTGAGGGTCCAAGTCAATCTTCTATTCTTGGGGACCCACAACTCCACATTATGTTGCTGGGATATGGAAGCAAAGGCAGGACTGATGGAGACGAAATGGGGAATGGAAGGAGCACCGGTAAAACGGGCAGCGACGACCGAAAGAGGTCACGGTTTCGACGACTTTCTCCGGAGGAAATGGCAGAGGACTTAGTCGCTTTGAAGAATAGTGGTAATTGTAACGCCCGACCACTTGCAAGCATCAACGACTATCCCCACACACTAACAAGAGACTTTTCAGCCTGCTTTGTCCTCACTCGCACACTTCTCGGGAAAACTTCCCAGGAGGTCACCCATCCCTGAATTGCTCAAAGTCAAGCACGCATCTTGTTAGTATAGGTAGTACCAATTAATTCTTATAAGCTATCATCAGCTGTGCTGTCCTATACCAGCACAATCTTTGGAATCCCTCTCTTTCCGGTGTTATTCGATTCATTCATGTACCCCCGCCGTTGGAAGCCTGCCAGGAGCCGCTCCTTGTCCGTGCCCTTGCGCACCGGCGATCACTCCCCGCCCTCGTCAGCGCCGGGATGTTACATGTCCACCAGCGTCTGCCTGGTTCGTCCTCGAACCACACCGTACTGAATGAGAAGCCCTGCTCTGATACCACTTGTAACGCCCAGCCACTTGCAAGCATCAACGACTATGCTCACACACTAACATGAGACTTTTCAGCGTACTTTGTCCTCACTCGTACACTTTCCGGGAAAACTTCCCAGGAGGTCACCCATCCTTGAATTGCTCCAAGTCAAGCACGTTTAACTGTGAAATTCTTTCGATCCGGGCTACCGAAAAGTAGATGCATCTTGTTAGTATAGGTAATACTAATTAATTCTTATAAGCTATCCTAAGCTGTGCTGTCCTATACTAGTACAATCTCTGGAATCCCTCTCTTTCCGGTGTTATTCGATTCATTCATGTACCCCTGCCGCTGGAAGCCTGCCAGGAGCCGCTCCTTGTCCGTGCCCTTGCGCATCGGCGATCACTCCCTGCCCTCGTCAGCGCCCGGGATGTTACAGTACTTCTGGTTTCAAACCACAAGGAATACTTCTAGTGATGCTGGATGTTGATACCAACAATCAAAAGTTATTAGAAGACCGCCTTTACTTAGGATTTCGACAACCAAAGTTGGAAGGTGAAGAATATATATCAGGTGTGGATGAATTTTTGGACGTTATTCATGCTCGATGGCGTAAAGCTATTGTACAGTTTGAGGATTTCCAATTGATGTGGCTTTTGAAACTCTAGAATGATATCAGGTTTGTGCATATGTTTCATTGCCCCATTTGCTAAAAATCCAAGAGACATATGTTTCAGGTGTGGGGTTTTTTCTCTTGGGCATATGCTGATTGTGGGTAAGAAAGGGTTAAGCCTAACAGGCTTAACCTTAGGGCTATTGAACCAGTCATCTTTGGGCTCCAAAGGAAATGCTACTGGCCTAAATACTCTTTTTGTTGGAGGCCCACAAATAGGGCAGAAAACTGAGCCTACAAGGAGTGGAAATATCCCCAGTTTCTTGGTCAACGAGGTTACATGAAATTGGGCGCAAGTGCAGTTTGAAAGCAAGGTGGCAATGAGATCAGACAGTTGCAATTTATTGACTTCAAGCATCACTTGTTCTGTATGCTTCAAACAATGGGATCCTGGTGGAAGCTTTTTCTGGTTACCTGTCCTCTTTATTCACCTTGAGGACAAGGTTAATTTTGAAGGGGGAGTAATAATGGGCCTATAATAAATAATCCAAGCCCATTAGTATCTTAGAATTAGTGTATATAGAAGTTTAGGGTGATGTTTCTGTTATGCATGAATTCAAAATTGGTTAGTGGGGAAAATTGGGAGACCTCTAGGGAACTCTTGAGCCTAGGTATTTGGTTTGAGGGGGAGTTGAGGCTTTCTGGGTTAATTTTTTGCATATTAGTGTATGTAAAAAGAGGCCATGCCTCCATTATCTCTATAATTTCAGTGTTATTTTTTTGGTTCCATCACATGCATACACAGAAAATGAGAGTCAATAACTAAGACTAACCTCTGACTTTAGATTCCATTACCAGGCTTGCAAACTGCATTTTGAAAAATACGGTTCATGTAATCCATTAATACTGCTGGTGCATTGGTGAGTCCAAAAGGGATTCCCAAGTACTCGTAATGACCGTATCTTGAACGAAACACGGTCTTAGGAATATTTTCCTGCTTCACCCGGATCTGATGGTATCCGAACCAAAGATCGATCTTTGAGTACACGCAAGCTCCCCTAAGTTAATCCAAAAGATAATCAATATGTGGAAGGGGATACTTATTCTTGATTGTCACCATGTTCAACTGCCTGTAATCGGTGCACAATCGCATGCTTCCATCCTTCCTTTTGACAAAGGTAACCGGTTGATGTGCCTCTGGCATATGTAGTTTTCCAAGCTAAAAATGATAAGAATTAAGTCATAAAAGAGCAGTTTATATACATATTTGCTTATTATGTTGAATTTTCCATTTCAATGATATTTCTCACCTATTTGTTATGTTTATATAGGGAGAAAGAAAGAGAAAACAAAATTTTAAAAGATTGTTGGTGCGAATCCGCACCGGTGTTGGTTCTGAGCTGCACCAGTTACCCCTGAGCCATTTTCCAGAGAAGTGGCGCGATCCCACGCCATAGTGCCGCGATCCCGCGCCAGTTTTGCAAGGCCAAGATCCAGAGTTTTGGCGCGATCCCGCTCCATAGTGGCGCAATCTCGCGCTAGTTTGCGGGAAA